CTTTCTGGCTTGTAAGGTCTGTGCTGAGAAGTCTGAGGATAATCTATTGGGTTTTCTTTTATAAGTTGCCATCGTCTTCTCCCTGGCTGCCCTGAGAATTTTGTCTTTGTTGTTGATTTTTAATAATTTTAATACAGTGTATCTTGGTGAAGGCCTTTTTGGGTTGAGATAATTGGGTGTTCTGTTGACTTCTTGAATTCCAAGCTCCAGCTCATTTTAGATTTGAGAAATTCTCCTCAACTATTTGTGTGAAAATGCTTTCTGGTCCCTTCTTCTTTTCCTCACCTTCGATAATGCCCATTATTTTTATGTCTCCTGATGGTATCAGCTAGTTCTTGTATTTCTCTTTCATTATTTTTTATTCTTCAGTTTCTCTTCTTCTTTATTTCTAGATTTATTTCTAGATTTCTGTCTTTGATATAACTGATCCTTTCCTCCATTTGGTGTACTCTGTTTCTCAAGCTTATTACTATTTCATTTTTCAACCTTTGCAGTGTATTTTTTATCTCCAGAAGATTTATTCTGTTCTTTTTGAGAGTTTCAGTCTCCTTGCTCTGCTCATCTAGTTGTTTTTTCAAAACCTGAAATTGTTGATATGACTCATTTTGGATCTAACTGAGGTTTTTTAGAAGTACCATCCTAATTCTCTGTCATTTCAGTCACATATTTCTATGTCTATAAGCTTATTTTCTGGCGATTTTTCTCTTTCTTTCTGAGATACCTTGTCACCTTGATTGTTCATGGTGTTTAATGGACTACTTCTCCACCTGGCCATTAATGGAAGAGATTATGTGGGGAGAGGCCCTCTGGGTTGGAGATTAGGGGTTGCCTGCTCAGCCTCGGTTTTGCAACTGCAGTCTGTAAAAATCAACTGTTGTTTCTCTGTCGTCCGCTTCTCTGCTTTCTGCCCCAATTATGCTGATTATATCGAATCACTATATAGTCACATAATGTTCAGATCTAAACTGCTTTCTTGATTTCTTTTATAGATAGAAGATGGTGAAATTTTTGCAAGTATTAATCAGAAGGATGGTATGGTCAGTTTCCATGATAACCCTGAAAAATATAATAACCCAGCCATGCTTCATAACATTGACCAGGAGGTAAATGTGAATGCCACATTTTTATTTTTTATTTTTTTTTGATTGGTGTTAAAGATGTTGTGTTTGCAATATTGCCCTTGTGCTACAGGATACTTTTAGTTTTAAATACAACATCTTAGTTTCTAGAAACTTAATTTCAAAATGGGCTGCTTAAAACTCTTCTAGATTGTTGGTTATAAGTAATGGTGGGTTAGAGTTCCCATCTAGCTCACCAAAGCCTATTTTAACTCCTAAAAGACATGAAGGGTCTTACAATTAATATAATTTTATCCACACCCAATTGCCCACTATAACGTAGAGCCTTGTTTCTGTGATAAAATATATTTAGAGTTCCAGGTCTCAAGTTAAGAAGACATCTCTGTGTCAGGAGTAGGGGTAAGTTGGGTAACTGGAGGAAGAAAGCCATCTTACAGTTCCCCACCGAGCAACTGCCATGGGCCATAGAGCAGTCATCTCTGCATCTTCTGAGGTCATGTTGCTCTGAGTAGCACTCTGGGTTTTGGACATGAGTTGGGATTGTGTAGGTGGTCTGTGTTTTTTACCTCTGATTAAGGAAGTGGATTGAACCAAATATTAAATCTCAAAAACCTAAAAGCAACATATAGTATACTTCCGCAATCCCTTTTTTGCAATTCAAAATCAAAACAAATTCTGAAAACCAGAAGTTTTTTTTTGGTAATTCATTTGATAGCAAATATCACCTGAATTGATTTAGTCTTTTTTTTTTATCCCAGTTAGTGTGAATATTTTGAAGTTTCACTGTAAAAGATATTAACGTGTTTGATTATGGGATGCTACCCTAGATCCTACGGGTATATTAGGTAACATAAAGTACTTGTATGTTACTTTCTGAAGTAACATGTTACTTATGTTAACTTTCTGAATTCAAAAAATTCTGACTCCAAAACCTATCTAGTAGCCCCAAGGGTTTCGGGTCAAGGGATTGTGAACTTGTAGCACCCATATTAAAAGTCTAGGTTCAAAAGAATGTAATTGACCTAACCCCGCTTACTAACCACCTTTAAACATGTCTGTCACACAGATGCTGAAGTGCATAGAGCTGGATGAGCGGCTGAAGGCAATGGACCAGGAGATCACAGTAAACCCCCAGTTTGTGCAAAAGGTGATTAGGGTTCCCCTCATTAACTCGAAGTGGGCTGGATGGAGAAGGAAGGGTGTTCCTACATGAGGAACATGAAGTTGATTTTAGGTTAAATGTTTAATTGCCAGCTCTCGAAAACGTTTATTACAAAGTTCAAAGAGCTTGTTGAGAGCATTTTCACACTACCACCTGGAACTGTGCTTAGGTGGTTGTGTTGGGTGGTACCTGGAATTGCCTCCTCTCTGTTGTACACAAAGATATAGGTTGACTGTCCTCTGGGAAGCCCTAGTATGCTTGTTGAGGGCTGGTGAGAACCCTTGACAAGAGCAAACATAAATACACTCCTTCATTCTCTCTTTTACAGAGCATGGGATCACAAGAAGATGATTCCGGAAACAAACCATCCAGTTACTCTTGAAACAAATGGCCATCTTAAGTTAAAATGAGAGAAACTGTCACTTTGGTAAGCTGTTAAGAGGGCAGCAGGGAGAACCAAGCCTGTTTCACCTGGACATTAAGAAATTACATTTTGTTTTGACTTCTTCAGTCCTATGTGCTTTCAGAAAACCATTTTCTCTGCAAAGGAAAAAAAAATCAAACTTTAAAATCTGTTGTGGATTTATTTATCCTCCGATCAATGTTGTTATAGTATTAAATCTACCGTTTTGTTTTAATTACTTGAACATTGATGTGTCTTTATCACTTTTTTCCCCCTCTAAAAAGTTTTTTAAAAGCACATTCATTTTGAACAGAAATAGTTAGATTTTAGACATTTTCGGAAGATTTGGGTCTAAAGTTATATCAGTTGCCTTAAAAAAAAGCTGGGAGAGTCCATAAGGCAGAAGCTAATTTTGTATAATTAGAATTAACATGCATTTTAGTGGCAGTATGAATTGTGAATTAAAGAGATGCTATTGCACTCTTTCTAACCTTTGGTGTGTACTATACACACTTATAGTCTTGAGAATGGCTTTTTTTTTTATGAGACAGGTGCCAGACTTCCCCTCTTTTTCTTCTAGAAGCATTTTCAGTTAAACTGTCAGCTGCATTTTGATTATGTTCAGGGTCCTTCTCTATAGAACTCTGATGTATCTGACTAGGGTTTACTAATTTCACCCCGGAATGGGGTGAAGCTTTTGTAAAGTGTGGTCAGATTAAACTAGAATTTGGTCCTTAAAAAACGTTTCTCTCTTGCTAGCGGCATTCACTTTTTTAAAAGTGTCAATTTGTGTAGTCAATCACACTTTTATTGTTTACAAGAAGAAACTCTGAAACCTCATGAAGCATGTAAAAGTTGCCCCTAATAGAGAGGCTTTGGGCCCGGGGTCTTGTGGTCTATTGTGATAACTACTCTGTTTTGCTGCAGGAAAGCAGCCACAGAAGACCCAATATGTAGATGAATGAATAACTTTGTGCCTATAAAACTTATGTGAATATAGGCAGAAGACTGAGTTTGACCCATCATCTAAACTCTCCAGTTTTCTGGCTCAAATTAGTACTGCTTGTGGGCCACATCATTTCCACTTAGGCTTACACATACCTGTACTTAGGAAAAAGAAAATATTTAATGGAAATCTTTTATTAGTGTAGTGAATAGCATACTGTTTTGCTTTCAGACAACTGATTTACCTGGATATGAATTAAAATCACCTAAAAAGTGTTTGAAAATTCTAAAAGCTGCAAGTTATGACTTTTTAAGTAAAGAATAACTCTCTTGTGGACTTTTAATGAAGTGGACGCTATTAATTTTTTTCCCCAAAATGGATTCATTAGAACACCACATTATTGAAACATGAACTGAAAATGGGTATGGTATTTAAGGCCTCATCGGTGTCCCTCCTGTGTCAGTGAAAGGGGAATGCTGGTTGTGATTGTTTCTCAGCTTTACACCTACCTTTATTCTTTCTGATTTTAGGTATAGAACTCTGCAAACCCCTCCCCGCCCCCCTTTTTTTTTTTTGCCAGTAGGAGGCAGAATAGAAAGCTAGGGAGGAAACAGGGACAGACTCTTTGCTGCGTGCTTCCTATTTAATAGTAGAACCCTAGAAACAACTCTTCACCCTGGTAAGGATGGTTCCAACAGCAGCAGTGAGACCCAGGTTGTTTCCCATGCTCCTAGAATCAGCCTCATCATACTCCCTTAGAGATACTGGCCCCAGGAGCAGTAGGAGGCAGAATAGAAAGCTAGGGAGGAAACAGGGACAGACTCTTTGCTGCGTGCTTCCTATTTAATAGTAGGACCCTAGAAACAACTCTTCACCCTGGTAAGGATGGTTCCAACAGCAGCAGTGAGCCCCAGGTTGTTTCCCATGCTCCTAGAATCAGCCTCATCATACTCCCTTAGAGATACTGGCCCCAGGAGGCATGCTTCTCCTAAAATCCCATACAGGTTAGGGACCCAGTTCCATTGGACATCTCCTCTAAATTTTTAAATTCTATTAATTCCAACCTCTTCCCTTTCCATGGTAATTTGAAAGATTAATAAATACTCTGAATTAATGAGAATACTTGCCCTCAGAATACATGTTTCCCCCACTAGCGAAAGTAGAGCGTTCCTATGAAAACTTTTGTAAAGCAAAGAAACAATTGCCATTAATTTATATGGAATTTTTTTTCAATGTTCCCAGACCCCCAAAATAACCTACCAAATCATACGAAACAATACATAAAACCTAAAATAACACTAACATATAGTAAAAGCAGTGCCAAAAAGATAATAAATACACAGCCTCTATAAAGTGGAGTGAGCTTGGCGGGGCCATTCTCACTGCTGCTTGGGATACATGCTGCCTCTACAACAACCTGCTGGAAAACAAATGCTGAACACTTTTACTTCACTTTTTCAAAAAAGTGAAAATCTTCAGATTTCTTTCAGTTAGCGAAAACAGGTACTAATGTAGGTATTTTGTAAAAGCAAAATGGAAAAGCAGAAGATACCTGAACTTGCATTATATTTCTATTCATTTTTGGTACCAAGTTTACTGCCCAAAGGGACAATGTTTAACTTTTAATATAGACTTGCTTAAATGTTTATGCTTGGTCTTGGAGATTGCCAGTTTGGGATATATTGCTATACAGTATTCTTTAAAGAAATATCTGGTTGCAAGTTTTAAAACGGCAGATGTTTTCTGAGACAAAGAATGGTATTAATGAGCAGTAAAGCAGTGAAATTTTTCTGCCCTGTATGAATGGCACCTTCTTTGTTTAGTAAATCAAAATCCCAAACAAAGCTAGGTAGTAGAACATTACTGCTGTTAAATGAGAAATAAAAGGCCAAAGTGAGAGGCAAAAAATATTTATTTGAGATCAAAAATGAATAGCTACTTGGGAAGCACTGATTCAGGCAGAGGTCCAAATGAACTGATTAAGAGATAAAGGCAACGAGTATGAGAAAGGGAAGGGGAACAATTACATCAATAGAAGGAAACATAAGGTAACATAATGACACTAATATTACAGATTTTTAATTTTTGGTCTGGTAGCCATCAGTCTTACAATGTCTGCTTTCTTGTTCTTTGCCAACAGTTCTTTTTGTCCTAGTCCAAAGGTTATTTTGTCCTGTTTTAACATTCCAAAAGTTTGGGGCATAAGACATGCAAGGCAGCTCCTCTGGGATGGCAGCTTCAGTTCCATTTTAAAGTGGCTCCGTTTATGTTGGTTTTTACACTGTGAAAGATACCAGCTAGCCTTAGTAACAGAATAATGCCTGTGTAGTCTAATCAGGGACAAGTACTTTTCTAGCAAACAATTTGGCAGAGGGGAAGGTTAAGTCTTAGGTTTACAGGTATGCTGAACTGTTGATGTTTATTGGTGGACCTACCTTGTTCAAGTTCCCTCCTCCTCCTATGATAATGGTCAAATTGTGCTCTAGTTCTCTCCCATTAATTGCTGTTCAAAGATGCAGTTTTGGGTTTGTAAGTTCTAAGTTTCTGTGTTGCAACTTGAAATGGTAACCAATCTGTAGAAGAAAATATTTGCACATAAGTCCGAGCAGTTGCAAAGACCCCAGAGAAGATAAATGACTGGATAAATCAGAGATGGTATTTGTGAATAGAAAAATGAGATGGCTACTTTGATTAAGCAGTTGAATTACTTAACAATAGTGGATAAAGACAAAACTCTATTCTTTTCTAAAAATCAAAAGTTGAGATCAGAGAATTTTAGATAGTTGTAAAAGGCATTTGATAAGCCCGGATTCCTAATGAACTGTTAAAGTTTATTACTAGATTAAAAAGAAACCACTTGGTAATTGACAAGCACAAAATGCATAAAGCCAATTAGTTGAATTCTAATTGGGGGAGGAGGTTAATTTTTAAAAGCATTATAAAAGTGCTATGGTAGGAAAATTTCTAGTCAAGATGGCATAGTAGGTACATGCTTGCCTCAAGACTACATCAAAATTACCACTAAACAACAGTCGTCATTGAGAATCGCCTGAAGTCTAGCTGAACAGAAGTCCTACAGCTAAGGACATAGAAGAGGCCACCTCGCCACCTCGAACCACTAGGGAAAGTGAAACCAACTAGTTTCACATTTGGTGATTAAAAATTGGGAGGGATATCTTAGCTGGAGAGGTCACTCCAGGAGGAGTGAGTGGTCTCAGCCTGATACCAGGTTTCAGTGCCAAGAAGAGAAATCCCCATAATGTCTGCCTGTGAAGCCAGCAGAGATTGTGGCTGAGAGGAAAGCTGGAGGAGCCCCAGGCGTTGTTTGTTTTTGTTTTAGTTTTTAAATTAGTTTCAGGTATACAGTACAGTGGATAGACAATTATATAATTTATGAAGCGATACCCCCAATTACTTTAGCACGCATCTGGCACTATACACAGCCATTATCGTAATATTGACTATATTCCCTAAGCGAGTCTCTGAATTCCCATGACTGTTTTGTAACTACGAATTTATGCTTCTTATTTCCTTCACTTTATTCACCCAAACACAAAGCCCCCACCCCTCTGACATTCACCATAATGTCCTCTGTATCCGAGAGTCTGTTTTCATTTAGTTTGTTCGTTTCTTTTGTTCCTTAGATTCCGCATACAGCTGAAATCATATGGTATTTATCTTTCTCTGTCTGACTTATTTCAATCAGCATAATACCCTCTAGGTCCATCCATGTCGTTGCAAATGGTAAGATTTCATTTTTTTAATGGCTGAGTAATATTCTGTTGTGTATATGTACCATAACTTCTTTATCCAGTCATCTGTTGATGGGCGCTTAGGTTGCTTCCATATCGTGGCTATTGCATATAGTGCTGCCATGATCATAGGAGTGCATATATCTTTACAAACTAGTGTTTTGGTTTCCTTTGGATAAGTACCCAGAAGTGCAATTGCTGGGTCAAAAGGTAGTTCTAGTTTTAATTTTTTGAGGAACCTCCAAACTGTTTTCCACAGTGGCTGTACCAATTTGCAATCCTGTCAACAGCATGTGAGTGTTCCCGTTTTTCCACATCCTTTCCAGTACTTGTTGTTTTCGATTTATTGGTAATAACCATTGGTAATAACCACAGGTATGAGGTAATATCTCATTGTGGTTTCAATTTGCATTTCTCTTGATGATTAGTGACCTTGAGCATCTTTTCATACTTAC